ATTAATATTAATCAAAATTAATCAGGCCTATTGTTCTAGAGCATTTATGTACCAAATTTTATTCAAATGTGATGATCAGTAATTGAGATATCAGTGTTAATTAATTGTGTTAATTAGGTGATTAATAAGCATAAATAATTACCAAAAACTAATTGGGTTTCTGCATAGTTCTCTTTAAAAGTTTCATTAAAATCCAATTTGTGGTTCTTTATATATCAGTGGAACATTATGCAAACTAGGTAATTAATATGTACTCATATTACCCTAAAAACTATCAGGTCTGTGCAGTGTCCTATGACATCTATGTACCAAGTGTCATTGAAATGTGATGATTACGACTTGAAATATCAAAAGCTGAAAATTAATTAATTATGCAAATTAGCTAATTAATATATACTGATATTACCCTAAAAACTATCAGGTCTGTGCAGTGTTCTATGACATCTATGTACCAAATTTCATTGAAATGTGATTACTACTTGAAATATCAAAAGCTGAAAATTAATTATGCAAATTAGCTAATTAATATATACTGATATTACCCTTAAAAACTATCAGGTCTGTGCAGTGTCCTATGACATCTATGTACCAAATTTCATTGAAATGTGATTAGTACTTGAGATATCAGTGGAAAAGCCGAAAATTGATTAATCATTATGCAAATTAGGTAATTAATATTGCACAGATTTCTACCCAAAACTAATCAAATCTGCACATTAGTTTGGAGCATCTGTGTGCCAAGTTTCAACAAAATCCAATGAGTGGTTCTTTAGATATCAGTGGAACAGCTAAAAATCAGCTAATTATCATGCAAATTAGGTAATTAATATGCATGGATTTTTACCAAAACCTAATCAAATCTGTGCATTGGCCCAGAGCATCTATGCACTAAGTTTCATCAAAAACTGATGTATGGTTCTTGAGATATCAGTGGAACAGACAGACACACACACACACACACACACACATACTTGTATTGCTATATGTTCCGAGGACTTCATTGGATTAACTTTTAATATAGTTAAATTAACTTTTAATATAGTTGCGATATGAACTCGATTAAAACGCGT